AAATCAGGATCCAGGTGCTATGTGTACGCATAGCTACTTTGATATAATTGCTTCTAGGACCTCTTAGCAGACAGAACTAGATAATACATACATACACTTATATATATATATTTATATATTAAAATCCATGAATTCTTACTGATTCCACCAACTTTAATTCTATTAGGAAAACTGGAGGTGAAACTCTCCATGTTGCAAGTAGCAGTGTCCGAAAAGCCCCAGGGTAGGAAGCAAGAGGTATACTGTGATCGATTCTGTGGCTGGAGTAAGAAGTGGCGTAGAGATGACTTTGAACTGGCACACAAGATGTGTTCAGTATACTTAGTTTCCGTAATAACAGTCTCCTTGTTTTCTTTCTACCTCTCTGGATACTGTTTTTTTGGATTCCTTTTTGAACTTCTGTTGCTCATGCCTTAAAAGCTGGGTGTTCATCTGGGTTCTGTAACAAGCCTATTGTCCTCTCAGCTCACTTTCTAGATTAGCTCATCGATTCTAATGCCTTCCAGTACCTTTTGGGTAATAGCTACAGCACACGTTTTCAGTGCTTCAGATAGGCCTATTTGACTACATACTAAATATCCAGGCTTCACTTAGATATTCTGTTGTTGCTAGTGTGTCGAAATGGAAATGTCCTAAACTCATCACCGTGGCCTATTTCACCCTTCCTCCCGGTTGCAACTAGGTTTTCTTCCTATTGCTCAATGGTTTCTTGATGCCCAAACCAGAAACTGGGCATCCCCATGGACTCCTGCCTCGCTTTCACACCCCCACATCCAAGTCCTCTTGATTCATTCTCCTAAATATGTCAAATATGTCCATTCATCTCCATCCTTATGGCCACTGCCTTAATCGGATCACTATTATCCCTCATTTGGATTACAGAGTGCTAATTGACCTCTCAAACCCGTTCTTAGTCTTAGAACCATTACAAACTTGAGTTCTAAGTTTTAGTCCTGGCTGTGCCACTTATTAGCTATATGATCTTGGTCAGATTGCTTAATCGCTTTAGGACTCAGTTTTCTCATCTGTAATACAGAGGCAAGAACAGAACCTACTTCATAAAGTAGTTGTAAGACACATAAGAGGTGATGTAGTCAAAACTATTAGCGTATTGGCTGACTCATAGTAAATGATCAAGAAATGTTAGTTATTATCATGATCATCATTGCACGGTTATTCACCACACGGCCTCTGTTATTTCTCCAAATTCTTTTCTGATTGTTTCAGTCTTTCAGCTTTTCTGAACCTCTTCCTGTTGCTCCAGGGTCGAATCCTATCTTTTGCTTCCAGGCCTTCCCTCTGCTCCCTTTTCCTGGAATTCTCTTCTCCCTTGCCCCTTGCCCTCATTCATTCTAAGTTTATCCATCATTTTCTCTTGATTTGGTGTCATTTATCTGTGTTCCAATAACACTCTTTAACTTCCTTTACTGAGGCTCTTATCTCACTACTGGAGTTGCCTACTTATTCGTTGGTCTCTCAAGTAAGTCTTGAGGTCAGGGACCAGTTTACCTTGTTTACTAATACAGGGCCTGACTTGATGAATGAGTGAATGAATGGGTGATGAATGGGCCATAGCGCCATCCTGGGTTTTCTGATCTCCTTTCTGGTATACTTCTGGTGAGAGCACTGCCTGGCCCCAGGAGTGGGGAAAGCTGAAGGTGGGCTTTCCGTGTACCATATCAGCCATTAGCAATTACTGCATTATTGGCTTCCCAGATTTTAGCTGACCAGTGATTGCCAGGACTATTCCTCTAGACATGAATATGGGGCTACCTTTTCCCTTTTTTTTTTTTTTCAGACAGAGTCTCTCTCTGTCGCCCAGGCTGGAGTGCAGTAGCGCCATCTCAGCTCACTGCAACCTCCACCTCCCGGGTTCAAGCGATTCTCCTGCCTCAGCCTCCTAAGTAGCTGGGACTACAGGCGCGTGCCACCACACCTGGATAATTTTTCGGTATTTTTAGTAGTGACGGAGTTTCACCGTGTTAGCCAGCATGGTGTCAATCTCCTGACCTTGTGATCCGCCCGCTTCGGGCGCCCAAAGTGCTGGGATTACAGGCGTGAGCCGCCGCACCCGGCCTTTTTCTCTTAACCTCACCAACAGTCTGATGGCCCTTCTCTCACACGGGAACAGCTCTTGAACTTATCAACCTGTTATGACATCTGTTATCTCTAAACCCGAGTTTACTGTGTTACGGTTGCCTGGAAATGTTATATCAAATGTGTGAAATTGCCGACTATTGGTAATTTCATAAGGTTCATCCTGTACGTGCTTTTGTAAATTGGACCCATCTGACAAGCTAACTACTGTAATGCAAATTGTGAGTAGCTACAGATTGGAAAGGTGATGGAGTTGGCCAGGTGGGCCTGGGACAGCTGGAATTTGCGGTGGAGGTAGACACAAGTTAGCAAGATGGCTTAGAAGGCAGAAGAGAAGCCAGACTAAGGCTTCTCAACATTTTACTCTACTTAGAAGTGGAAACATTTGGTTCAGAGGGCCTTTGCCTTAGACTCCATAGGGGCAGGCCCAAGGCCGCTGAGGTGGATGAACTTGGCTGCCTCTGAGTGGGAACCAGGAGGCCTGATCCCCTACAAAGTTCCAGGTTCACGACCCCGCAGGCCCGAGCGACACCGTCGGCGCTGGGAGAAGAGAGCCACTGGGTGGCAGCAAAGGCACGCAGGTTTCTTCCGACAGAGGCGGTTCCTTAACATACTGTAGTTTCCTTCTTTTCAAACGCATTGTTCTAACACTCTTAGAAATTTACAGTGGTTTTATATTCTTGAATTAGACAGTGTGAGCAGAGACTCCGTTTGCCATTTCCTCTCAGAATTACATTGATGTTTTTCCTGCGAAAATTTTTACTTATTTTTCTCCCATGTTATTTCCAGGAATCCCAGACTTTTCCTTGCCCCGGAAAGGCCGTGTCCAGGCCGACCTGAGCCAGGAGTCGCAGGGGTGGGAAGCCAGCGGCAGGGCCGGGCCCGGGACGCCGCCTCAGGAGCCGCGAGGGCTCGGGAACCCCCGGCGGGGCCGGCGTGCATTCGCCCGGCACCTCCGGCTGCTACGGTGGCGACCGCGATCTGATGCCCTGGAAAACACCTTTAGAACATGACTTTTGGGGGAGGTGAATAGGGCAGAGTCCCCAAAGGACACCTCGCCGCATACTGGTTCTTGGTGCACTTTGTAAATGTCACCCCCGTGTCTCAAAACGAAAACATCCCTTTATCTTCTAGCACCTTCCAGAACGGGGCAGTGGAAACTAGTGTTGGGACAAAGGAGGCGAGCAGGGCCTTTTCGGGGCTCAGAGAGGACCCCTCGGAGGCGCGGCGGCGGGGGAGAGCGCGACAGTCCCCCAACCCCCGCCAACCGGGCAGGGGCCGCTCCCAAGGTGACAGAAGGAGGCGGGAGGTGGAGGAGAGAAGGTCCCGCCCCACCTCGCTCTCCTTTACGGGAAGTGATGTGGGGCCAGGCGGAAAATACCCGCCAAGAGCCCAAAAAAGGCCAGCGGCGGGTGGACGCGGCGCGCGGGGACTCGAGCCGGGCGGGGAGAGGACTGCGGGGCGAGCCAGGTGAGGGGCCTGAGGAGCGGGAGGCTCGCGGCGGGTTCGGTCCCTCCGGGAGGACCGAGCGAGGCTTCCCCGTGGGGCCGTCCTGGGGCTGGGGTCGGAGGCTGCGCCGCCCTTTCTCCTCGCCTCCTGGCACCCGAGCCCGCCGGAAAAGTGGCTTCTCTCCCAGGCCCTCAGTGCAGACCCCAGTGATGACAACCGCCTGGTGCTGGTCAGGTGCGGTCCGGGGTCCGGCCAGGGTCTCAGGTCGCCTCCGGGTTGCATCCAGGTGCGAGGGTGCCCATCAGGGGTAGGAAACTTTCCTGGAGGGAAAGGAGGAAAGTCCCCTACCTCCCGCACGCCCCCCAGTTCATTCCTCCCTCTTTAGCTTTCAGTTTAACTGTTTAATCCGGTTGCCCTCTCGGTGAGGGTCTGGACTGCAGACTGGCTGCGAGGGAGGGGCTCTCCCTTCTCCTGTCAGTTAGACAGAAAACTCTACCTGGCAGCCAAGCCCTCCCGTCGGGACTGGTGGTGGGCTGATGTGATGACAGGCTTTAGTAACTATTGCCAAAGCCTGTCTCTGTCCCAGTGGATCACCAGCTCAGCAACGGCAGGCCTGAAGCGAAGGGAATTTTGTGAGCCCTGGACTGAGGAGCCTTCCCAGCCTTTTAGCTCCTGCTGGCCACCTGGGCCTGCATGGCCTCAGGGTCTTCTGCCACAGGGTCCTCTTCCTTACCCCTGCAGCTAACAGCTGTTCTTTCCTTCCGGATGGATTCTCACTTTTTATGGTTGGTTTATCAGTCAGATGTTGGAGTTGGGGGTAGAGGGATTACAGAGTTGCGCTATGTACGTTTTCTCTAATCATTGCTAATTAAATTTGTTGATTCTCCACTCACTGTTCTTGTTACTTTTTTTTTTTTTTTCCCCCCCGGCCTTCTTAAAAACTTGCTTTAGAGGGAAAATACAACCTGGAAAACAGTTTCTGCAGATGGTTAGAAGTGAAGAAAGGTTAATATAATGCCGAAGGAACTTGACTGAGGATCATTATTTTCTGTATTTTATGTTGGTTTATGTTGTTTTATGTTTTCATTCCTACTTTTTTCTTCCTTCCTTTGTACCCTTCTCTCTTCCTCCCTCCCTCGCTTTTTTCCCTCCTTCCTTAATTTCTATGACCTGCTTTGATTTTTAATTTCATTGAAGTATATTTAATCTATTTTTCCTTTTTTTTTTTTTTGAGACAGAGTCTGATTCTGTCGCCCAGGTTGGACTGCAGTGGCATGATCTTGGCTCACAACAACCTCTGCTTCCTGGATTGAAGTGATTCTTTTGCTTCAGACTCTAGAGTAGCTGGGATTACAGGCATGTGCCACCATGCTTGGCTAATTTTTGTATTTTTAGTAGAGGTAGGGTTTTGCTATGTTGGCCAGGCTGGTCTCAAACTCCTGACCTCAAGTGATCAACCCGCATCAGCCCAAAGTGCTGGGATTATAGGCTTGAGCCACCACACCCAGCCTGTTTTTCCTTTTGTTGTTTGTGCTTTTGATGTCAAATTTAAGAAAACATTGTCAAATTCAAGGTCATGAAGATTTATACTTATGTTTTCTTCTAAAAGTTTTATCGTTTTACCTCTTACTTTTCGTTCTTTGATCCATTTTAAGTTAATTTTTAAATATGGTGTGAGGTAGGAGGTCTAACTTCAACCTTTGTGTGTGGATATCCAGTTCTTTCAGCACCATTTGTTTAAAAGACTGTTCCTCTTTGAATGGTTTTGGCACCTCTGTTGAGATAAATTGACGATGGATGTAAAGGTTTCTTTCTGAACTGTCAATTCTATTCCATTGATCTGTATGTCTGTCCTCAAGCTAGTATCATACTACCTTGATTATTGTGGCTACATAGTGTTTTGAAATCAGGATATGTGAGTCCTTCAACCTTGTTCTTTTTCAAGATTGTTTTGACTGTCCAGTTCCCTGAATTTCCATATGAATTTTTTTCTTTTTTCTTTTTTTTTTGAGACGGAGTTTTGCTATTATTTTGCAGGTTGGAGTGCAATGGCACGATCTCGGCTCACTGCAACCTCCGCCTCCCAGGTTCTAGTGATTCTCCTGCCTCAGCCTCCTGAGTAGCTGGGATTACAGGCATGTGCCACCACGCCCAGCTAATTTTGTATTTTTAGTAGAGACAGGGTTTCTCCATGTTGGTCAGGCTGGTCTCGGACTCCCGATCTCAGGTGATCTGTCTGCCTCAGCCTCCCAAAGTGCTGCGATCACAGGCATGAGCCACTGTGCCTGGCCTTCCATATGAAATTTAAAGGCAGCTTCTCAATTTCTGTTGTTTTGGTTCTAGAATAGATGTAAGGGTTTTGAAGTGAACAACAATCTCTAGGAGCCACACTTTTGAGTTTTCTCTCCCAAAGCTGCTTTTCCCCTAGTCTTCTCCATCTTAGTGAATGGCAACTTCACTCTTCCAGATGCTCACACCAAACATCCTGAAATCATTCTTGATTCTTTCTCTTATACCCCACATTACATTCCTCAGCAGGCTGAGTGTGGTGGCTCACGCCTGTAATCCCAGCACTTTGGGAGACAGGTGGACGGATCACAAGGTCAGGAGATCAAGACCATCCTGGCTAACACGGTGAAATCCCATCTCTACCAAAATACAAAAAATTAGCTGGGCATGGTGGTACGTGCCTGTAGTCCCAGCTACTTGGGAGGCTGAGGTGGGAGGCTGAGGCAGGAGAATCGCTTGAACCAAGGAGGCAGAGGTTGCGGTGAGCCGAGATGGCGCCAGTGCACTCCAGCCTGGGCAACGTCGTGAAACTCCATCTCAAAAAAAAAAAAAAAGAAATTCCTCAGCAAATCTCACTGATTCTACTTTAAGAATACATCTGACCAGGCACAGTGGCTCACGCCTGTAATCCCAGCACTTTGGGAGGCTAAGACAGGTGGATCATCTGAGGTCAGGAGTTCAAGACCAGGCTGGCAACATGGTGAAACCTCATCTCTACTAAAAATACAAAAATTAGCCGGGGATGGTCATGGGTGCCTGTAATCCCAGCTACCTGGGAGGCTGAGGCAGGAGAATCACTTGAACCTGGGAGGCGGAGGTTGCAGTGAGCCAAGATCGCACCATTGCACCCCAGTCTGGGTGACTGAGACTCCATCTCAAAACAAACAAACAAACAAGCAAACAAAAAGAATACATCTAGGATGATAACCATTTTCCACCACTTCTGCTGCTTCCACCAAGTTCCTATCATCTCTGTCACCTGGATTACTGCAAAAGCCTCCTAAAGGACTTCCCTGCTTCCACCCTTACTGCTGCACACTCTATTCTTTTTTTTTTTTTTTTTTTTGGAGGAGTTCTGGTTTTGTTGCCCAGGCTGGAGTGCAGTGGTGCGGTCTTGGCTTGAGTCACCGTGCCCGGCTATTTCTTTCCTTTTAT